TAGAGAGCACTGTTTATCAAGGAAGCTACAGAGCATAGGAATTTTTTCATGGGGTTTTCTTTTCCTGCCACAACAGACAGACAGAGAGAGAGGGAGGAACACAGGTATGAAAATGGCAATGAAGAAGTTCCTATCAATCAATAATAACCTTAAATGTAAATGGATTAAATCCTCCAATCAAAAGACAAAGAATAGCTGAATGGATAAGAAAGCACGATCCACACATATGCTGCCTACAAGACACCCACCTCAGGATAAAAGTCCTACAGAGACTGAAAGTGAACAGCTGGAAACAAACAGGAAAACCAACAGGGGAAAAAAAAACAGCAAACCAACAGGAAAAAACAACTCGGGGTAGCAACACTCATATCAGATAAAATAGACTTCCAAAAAAAAGGCCATAAAGAGAGACCCAGAAGGTCACTTCAGAATACTCAAGGAAGAATCCACCAAGAAGACAGAAACATTGTAAACATATATGCATCCAACACAGGAGCACCCAAATACATAAAGAAAATCTTCGAGGACTTCAAGAAAGATACCGACAGCAACACAATTATACTAAGGGATTTTCACACCCCACTGCCAAAAACGGACAGATCTTCCAAACAAAATATCAACAAAGATATTGTGGCATTGAACAATGCCCTAGATGAAATGGACTTAACTGAAATATATGGAGTCCTTCATCCCAAGAAGCACAATACACATTCTTTTCAAATGCACATGGAACATTTTCAAAGAGAGACCACATGACAGGACACAAAACAAGCCTCAACAAATTCAAGGAAATTGAAATCATACCAAGCATTTTCTTAGATCACAAGGGCCTGAAACTAGAAACCAACCCGAAGAGAAAAAACCCCCAAACACTCAAAATCATAGAGATTGAAAGCATGCTATTAAACAATGAATGGGTCAAGCATGAAATTAGGGAAGAAATCAAAAAGTTTCAGGAAACAAATGAAAATGAGCTCACAACAACCCAAAACTTATGGGACACAGCAAAGGCAGTCCTGAGAGGGAAGTTCATAGTGATACAGGCCTACGTAAAAAAGATAGAACATTTCAAATAAACAACCTAACCCTACATCTACAAGAAATGGAAGAACAACAACAAACAAATTCCAGAGCAAGTATAAGGAAGGAAATAACCAAGATCAGAGTAGAATTAAATGACATAGAGACTAAAAGCACAATTCTAAGGATCAATGAATCCAGGAGCTGGTTCTTTGAAAAGATAAACAAAATCAACAAGCCTCTAAGCAGGCTCATCAAGAAAAAAAGAGAGAGGATCCAAATAAACACAATCAGAAATGAAAGGGGAAAGATGACAACTGACACCACAGAAATACAAAGGATTGTAAGACATTACTATGAAGAACTGTATGCCAAGAAATTTGAAAACCTAGGTGAAATGGACAAATTTCTAGAAAAAATATAATGTTCCAAAACTCAGTAAAGAAGCAGCAGAAAGCCTAAACAGACCAATAATAGCAGATGAAATTGAAGCAGTGATCAAAAAGATCCTGACACACAAAAGCCCTGGGCTGGATGGTTTCACAGGAGAATTCTACAAAGCATTTAAGGAAGAGCTAACCCCTATCCTTCACAGACTATTCCAAAAAATCCAAAAGGATGGAAGACTCCCAAACTCTTTTTATGAAGCCAGCATCATCCTAATCCCAAATCCAGATAAAGACACAAGCAAGGAAGAAAACTTCAGGCCAATATTGCTGATGAACATAGACCCTAATATCCTCGACAAAATATTGGCAAACCGCATCCAACAATACATTAAAAAAGATCATAACCATGACCAAGTGGGATTCATCCCAGGGATGCAAGGATGGCTCAATATTCGCAAATCAGTCAATGTAATACATCACATAAACAAAAGCAAAGACAGCAATCACATGATCATCTCAATAGATGTGGAAAAAGCATTTGATAAAGTACAGCACCCATTTATGAGTGTTTTTGGCAAAATACTCAGCAAAGTGGGAATGGAGGGAGCATTCCTCAACATTAAATAAAGGCCATAAATGAGAGACCTACCGCCAACATCATACTCAATGGGCAAAACTAAAATCTTTTCCACTAAGATCAAGAACAAGACAAGGTTGTCCACTTTCACCACTTCTGTTCAATATAGCATTGGAAGTTTTAGGCACAGCGATCAGACAAGAAAAGGAAATACAAGGCATCCAAATCAGAAAGGAGGAAACAAAACTGTCATTGTTTGCAGATGGCATGATAGTGTACATAGAAAATCCTATGGAATCCACAAAACAAGTGCTCAACCTTATAAACGAATTTGGCAAAAGAACGGGATACAAAGTCAATATCCAGAAATCAAAGGCATTTTCGTATACCAACAATGGAACAGCAGAAGCAGAAATCAAGAAAAAAACCACTTGACATAGCAAAAAGAAAAATAAAATACCTAGGAATAAATCTAACCAAGGAGGTAAAAGACCTGTATTCAGAAAACTACACAACACTGAAGAAAGAAATCAAGGAAGACACAAACAAAGGAAAACATGTACCATGCCGTGTTCATGGATCAGAAGAATTAACATCATCAAAATATCCATACTACCCAAAGCAATTTACAGATTCAATGCAATAGCTATTAAAGCACCAATGACGTATTTCACAGACATAGAACAAACACTTTGAAAATTTATATGGAACCACAAATGATCACGAATAGCTGATGCAATTTTGAGAAAGAAGAGCAAAGTAGGAGGGATCACAATACCTGATGCCAAATGGTATTACAAGGCCACTGTAATCAAAGCAGCCTGGTACTGGCATACAAGCAGGCACATGGACCAATGGAACAGAACAGAGAGCCCAGAAATAAACCCAAGTCTCTATGGTCAATTAATATTTGACAAAGGGGTAGCACCATAAATTTGGGTAACAATAGCCTCTTCAACAAACGGTGTTAGGAGAAACTGGACAGCCAAATGCAAAAAAAAATGAAACTCGAGCACCAACTTACACCATACACAAAAATTAATTCAAGGTGGATAAAAGATTTACATATAAACTGTGACACCATTAAAGTCCTAGAGGAGAACATAGGCAGGAAAATCTCAGATATTTCATGCAGCAACAGTTTTACTGATATGTCCCCCAGAACAAGGAACATAAAAGAAAGAATAAACAAATTGGATCTCATCAAAACAAAAAGCTTCTGCACAGCTAAAGAAAACAGCATTAAAATAAAAGGAGAACCAACTGTATGGGAAAACATATTTGGCAATGATACCTCAGACAAGGGTTTAATCTCCAAAATATGTAAAGGACTTACATGACTCCACTCTAAGAAGACAAGCAACCCAATTAAAAAATGGGCAAAGGACTTGAACAGACACTTCTCCAAGGAGGACATACAGAAAATCCAAAGACACATGAAACGATGTTCAATATCGCTAGCTATCAGAGAGATGCAAATTAAAACCACAATGAGATACCACTTCACACCATTGAGAATGGCCATCATAAACAAAGCAACAAACAACAAGTGTTGGAGAGGTTGTGGAGAAAAGCAGACCCTAGTGCACTGTTGGTGGGATTGCAGACTGGTACAACCACTATGGAAAACAGTGTGGAACTTCCTCAGAAAACTAAAAATGGATCTGCCTTTTGATCCGGCAATTCCGCTGCTAGGATTGCATCCTAAGAACCCTGAAACACCAATTCAAAAGAACCTATGCACCCCAATGTTCATAGCAGCACAATTTACAATAGCCAAGTGCTGGAAGCAACCTAAGTGCCTATCAGTAAATGAATGAATCAGAAAACTATGGTACATTTACACAATGGAATTTTATGCAGCAGAAAGAAAGAAGGAGCCCCTTTCCTTTGGGACAGCATGGATGGAACTGGAAAGCATTATGCTAGGTGAAATAAGCCAGGTGGTGAAAAACAAATACCATATGATCTCACCTTTAACAGGAACCTAAATAACAAAACAATGAAACAAGCAAAATATAACCAAAGACACTGAAATAGAGAACAGTCTGACAGTGACCAGAGTGGAGAGGGGAGGGAATTTCAGGGGAAAAGGGGAAGGGTTTACAGGAACAAGTATAAAGGATACATGGACAAAACCTAGGGAGTGTGGAAATATCAGGGAGGTGGGGGGTGTATGGGCTGGGATCGCTGATAAAGACAGAAAATTGTACTTGAACAACAATTAAAATAAAAAATTAAAAATATTAAAGAAACAAAAAACAAACAAAATAACATAAGTTCATCTAATAGGTTCTTGATACTTTTGATTATGTGGAAAATATATGGGTAAGAGTTTATACTTGTTTAACAATATAGAAACAATGAAAAAATTAAACAAAAAAATTGAGGATATGATTAAGGGGGGGAAACCAACAAAATTAAAATGGTTCAAGAATGTAAATATAATCTCAGTGCAATACTTGACTCATTCGAGAATACATTGTTCTGTGCGATAATGATTTAAACACAAATTGTGTTATAACTGTCTTGGGAGAAAAGGGGGTGTGGTAGTTTAAAAGAGAGAAATTCTCACTATGTATAACAGAAAGTTAATAGATAATGCTCTGAATTGATCAATCAGTACATAGCAGCTTAGAATATTTTTTAGAAATACATACATAAATACCAGAGGAACTATAAAGGTGATGTGTGTTTAGGGAGAGTAAATGGGGATAGAGAAGAAAGCATGAATTTCTGTTTTTTGTTGTTGTTTTCTTACGTTTCGTAATACTACTTTATTTTTAAAATTATGTACATATATCACTGTATGAAACTAAAAATTGATTTTAAAAAAGTTAGCTGTAGACACCATATTTTTCACCCAAGGGCTTTGAGTGAGGTAATATGGCATCTTGAAATCATCACGAATATTCACACTGCTTACTCCTCCGTAATGTAAATTGGCCTTGAGCACGTTATAATAAAGAATCCAGCCCCGGCTGGTGTGGCACAGAGGATTAAATGACAGCTGGGAAGAAGGGGTGGAGGAGGAGCCGGGAGTGTAGTGCAGTCGCTGCAGTCCAAGGACAAAGGCCATCCGCCAGAGTTCAGCCTAGCGGCCGCCTTGGGCCCCTCCTTTTTTCCTCCCCCCGGGGGCGGAGGAGTTGCGAGATGCTGAGCCTGTGACTCCCCTCTTCCAGTCCCTGTCACCGAGAACGGGAACCAGCGCTCGCCCACTCGCCGGAGGAGACGGCCCTGGACTCGCAGCCCCGCCGGCGTAACCATGAGCTCCGGCCAGCAGCCGCCCCCGCCGCGGAGGGTCACCAACGTGGGCTCCCTGGTGCTTACACCGCAGGAGAACGAGTCTCTCTTCTCTTTCCTCGGCAAGAAAAGTGTGGTCAGTGGCCGAGACCCGCGTCGCCCCCCACCGACGTTACCTTACGGGCCGGGGCTACAGGGCCAGGAACTGGGAGCGGGGAAGGAGGCGAGAGCGGTGTGGGAGGGTCCGGCTGCCGGCCAGGCCTACCCCCGGCCCGGTGTCGGCGCCCTGGCCCCACTCCCTAGGTGCGGGCAGTGCGGGCCGCGGCGGCTGGACACCGCCTCCCAGGGCAGCCCGGGAGCAGGGAAGTGTCACCTCCGCTGGCCTGTCCTGGATTCCTGCTTGGCCGGGTCCTCTCCCTTGCTGCTGCTTCAGACTTTACTGTCAGGCCCCAACGGGAATTTCTTCTTGCAAGAGCTGTTGGGTCTTTGTAACCTGGCTCCTGCCCTGGCCATCTCTTCGCCTCTTACCGCTTGATCTGGGGGTACTTTTCTTCACAATGCCAGAGGTTTCAGGAGTGGGAAGGTAGGGATCGAAGCCCAAATATGAATGAAACGGACCATGAAGTGGGTTTCAATCCCTTTTAGAGTTTTGGGAGAGAATAAAGGACGGGGTTCAGGACGGGGTTCAGGACGGGGGCAGGAAATGCTACTGCTCCCCATTGCACAGACACAGGGTTCATTTCTCCAGGAAGCTCCCCGAGGCCTGGTTTCTATTCTCCCTGCAACTGATTTTTTTTTCTTTCTTTCTTTCCTTTTCCTTTTTTGCATTGGTGGGAGGAGGTGTTCCTTTCCCCACCTTGCGCAGGGGAGCTGCAATCTATAGTAGTTCTTGGCCTTTTGGGGCCTGCAAATCATTCTTAAGTTTGTATTGTGCGGCCTGTTCCGACCTCAGATGGCTGGTTGGGAGCAAGTAGTTCTGCTGTGGGGAGGAAAATGTGTGTTGTTGACGGAAGCATTCATTATATTGGCTGCTGGCACTTCGGGGGTGGGGAGGTTCTACTCCTTTGGTGCAGGCCTTATCAAGCTGCATCTTACTGAGGTGGCCTGGTTGAACTTGGTTGAGTTTGCTGAAACCCTGTTTGATCTCCTTTCTCTCCTCTCTGCTTGTTATGACCTGCGGAGTATGGGCCACTGGAACCCAAGAGACACCTCCAGAAATGTCAACAGAACAGCTTTACAACTTTGCATAGTAGTGTTAAATATGCCAAAACAGGGACACCTGCTTAAGAAGTTAGGATTAGACAATTTCTGGAAAGTTACCGGATTGTTAACTTTATAAGAGCCTACCCTTTGTTTCTTGCCCTATGCAGTTGGAGATTGAAATCAGTACATTCAATTCAGATGTGTTTCATATTTCAGAAGTTAGCCCTTAAAAAACATTCCTTGAGTTTACTGATTAGAAAAATGAAATAAGAGGGGTGGCTTAAAATCAGAATTTTGGGGAAACAACTTTTGTGGTAATCAAGTCCCACCCCTCTACCCCAGCTTTTTAAACAAATGAGAAAACTGAGCCAGTGAGCCCTAAGTCACACAGCAATTTAGTAATGTAACCAGAACTAAAAAACCAGGACTCCTGATGCCTGCCTAGTCCGTTGTACTTTCCACTACATCATGTTGTTTTTTAGAAGGGTTTTTTCTTTCTTGTTATTGATTTATCCCCAAAAGTGGAGTTAAAAGAATAATCACTTTTGTTTAACCCAAAATGAATATGAAGTGTAGGATTCTTAAAGCAGCACAAATTTTTTCATATTTTCAATTTAGGAAAATCTCCATCACTTGAAATGTTAAATTATTTGCAAATGAAAAAATAATTAAAATATTGCTGGTTTATTACTTTTGCTGTCAGAAAGGAAGTAGTTATGTGTACTATGTTTTACATACCAGACACATTAACGTTATGCAGGAAGGACATTACAAGTATAATGAGTAATTGCTCTGTCTTACCTATAAGGTTTACTGGTTTCAATAAATGACACATGTGGAAGAATACTGTGATAAAGATAGTGTTGCTTACTGGTTAGTGTAAGTGGATTGCCAAATAAGCTGTCTGTATTCAGTGCTCAATTTCTTTATGTCATCTATTACTAATCAGCTTTACCTTTTGGATTTCTGTCACTTAAAACTACACTGTTGTAGTTACCTGCTCTTCTGGTATGAAATTATTGGAAAGATTAACTGTAAATTTGACATCTCCAGTTATTAGTGAGTAAAGTAGGATTATTTTAATTTTTGGAACAATTTTTTTCCTTTGCTAGCTATGCATTTTTTTTGTAGTTTAAGATATTACTGAAGTGCATTTGTTTCATTTTTTAAAAATTCAGCAGTAAGATTTACAGGTCAGACCAAATTTGCTAAGCAAGTGTATTCAGAGGAGTAGTTATAGTGCCAGCGCTCAGGCATTCCTTCCTTTTACTTAACAAATATGTATTGAGTAACTAAATGTTGAGGTCAAAACCAGGGTTGATGCCTGCCCTCAAGAAGCTTTCTGTGTAAAAATGGGAAACAAGTGTGTAAACTGATGAGTTAGTCAATGCTTCAGAGTGATGTGTAAGAGGCTGCATACCACAATGGAAAATGTCTTTGCAGTTGGCAGAGCTCCGTTCAGACTCATATGGTCACTTTGAACACGTTTCTTAAGCTCCGCGTCCTAAAATTGCTTTTCTTATCTCTGAAATAGGGATACTATTTTATGTGTGTGTGGGGGGGGGTGTAGATTAGAAGGACTGTGTGTAAATATATGGGTGCTATTATTTTTATAAAGATTTGTGGGACCAAAAGAGTTTGAGTAAAAGCTTTTTAGAATGGGCTACACCTGGATATTTAAGATTAGTAGGATCTCCCCCATGCCCACCCCCCCCCCGGGGGTTGATGGGAGGTATGAAATGGCTTGGAAAGTCAGGGGACCTACATTAATATTGTAGTATGTTGTGGATCAGGGAGGGTTTCTTCCTGGGTTCTCAAATTTAGGTATGCTTTGGAATTATTTGTAGATTATATTAACATGCATATAGCTAGGCTGAATTCCTAGATAATCAAATTTAGTGGGTCTAATGTGGAACTTAGTCATTTCTATTTGTAGCAGGCTTAACAGAAGACTGTAATATGTATCACAGTTTGAGAACCCCTGCTGATGTCCACTGGTTTTTGATAGGGTAATCTTGAAGTACACGGAAATGTTAATAGGTTTTCCCTCAGTCTTTGTTCTATATTTTGTGACTTAAGGTTAAAACAAGTTATTTTAGTGCAGCATTTCTCTAACCCCTTGAGATACCTACCAATGTGTGTTTCATAGATGTAAGAGAGGTACAGTTCAAGTATTGCAGTAGTTAATGGGGAACCACAAGATAAAGATCTGACTTTCAGAAAGTTTGAGGAGAACTCTGAAGGCATGATAGAAGGTGGACTGAGGATTGTTTGAGTGCAGACAAAGGAGGTCAGCTTAAGTGTTTACAGTGGTCTATGTGAAATATGATGAGGGCCTGAATTAAGGGAGTGCTGCTGGGAATTCAAAGACAATTAAAAAGACTCCAGTAGGATTTCTTCCCCCTTAGATAAAGAGAGTTAGGGAATAAAAGCAAGTATAGCCACCAGAAGGATTATGCGGAACTCTCTCACTAGATGAAAACATGCCTAGATGGTATTTGAGACTTTATTGGTGATTGGTTTCATGGAGAAGTTGAATCTTCAGTAAATCTATTTTATGTCACAGTTTTTAAAAGTAGATTTTGTGAAAGTTGAGGTTTCATTCAAAGTTATATGTAATATATTCAATATGTGTTATGTACTTTTACATAAAGTATGTAGTTCATTGGCTGGTAACATTTTCTGAGAACAATTAGGAAGAGTTAAATAAGAAGATTATCAGGTCTTGTTTTTGTAGTTTTGTTACTTTCATGGAGTGTGATTTAACTTATTTTCTGTAAAGAGCATGTGCTGTCTTGCCAAGTAGAGTTTAATATATAGTCCTGAATAAGAAATTAGGTAAGATTGGAAAAAATACAGTCTTCTACTAGTCTCTGTAACCACCTCTGGCTTAGCCATGTTGTTGACAGTTACCTTTCCCTGCCATCTCACCTGGTTGGTTTGTTGTAAGATTTAGTGATACCATTTTTAACTGACTTTAATCTTCATTTCCTTAAATTCCTCAGCACTTGTTTTAACTGGCTTACATTCTTCAGGTATTGTTTTGTTTTCTCACCCTTTATATAGTTCTGGGAGCTAAGACCTTATGCCTATGTGGTCTTCCATGTAATTTTTATAGCACTTAGCTACAGATTATTGAATACTTAACTGAGTTGTTTTCATTGTTAACTTGTTTATTACTCAGGAACGCATTCAGCATTTCTCATTGCTCGATCAGGTTGTTAAAACCTCCCATTTCGAATGCATATGGTATTTGGAAATTAAGTCTTCATTTATTAGGAGAACAAAGTGGTTTAATGCTGCTGCCGATCTAGGTGGTAACAGTAACTGTCCAACAGTTACTTGTTTCTGTTCTAAATCTTTAAATAGGTCTAAAGGGAAGAGTTGCCTAGAGGGATCGTTGTGTGGAATTAAGGCAGTTAGGGCTAGGAATGGATTTCACCTTGAGTAATGTAAAAGGAAAAAGGTTAAAAATTCATGGGATTTGGAATATGCAAAGATGAGAAAACAGTCTTGCCTAATATGGAGAAAAAAAGTGACCACAAAACTGTCATACAGGGTAGACTATAATATAAGCATGGGAGAGTCAGAAAAATCCAGCAGGTCTGGGTTATATATCCTGTTTCTTGTTGTTCTTAGCTCTGTAACAGTGATTTTCAACCTTTTTCATCTCATGGCACACAAAACCTAATTACTAAAATTCTGTAGCATACCCAGAAATGCATGTTTTGTCAATATGAAGCACTTAGAATACCTGACACTTACAAAGTGTTCTCGGAGTTTGGAAAAGCGTATGAAAGAATGTTATCCTTAGTACAGTACCATTCCTGTTACCAGCAGAAAGGTTTTAAAGTAAAACTACGAACCCCAGATTGTATTTGTTTGGATTTAGGTGAGCTAATTCTAATAATTTTATTTGAAATCAGTGAAGTC